TTTTTCGTAAGAATTTTCTTAAGTTTGACCTACTTCTTAAGTAAATTTTTTTAATCACGTGAACTCCATCGATAAAAACTTAAGAAGTGTCGACGTGAATACCAAATTATACTTACGAAAGAAAATCGACTTACGAAGTCGACGTGAATACGGCCCCAGGTATTTCAGCTCATGCTGACAGCTCAGGCCACGATAGATGTCAATCACATGTTCCCCAGTCAGTGAAAATATTCGATTTCACATGCAATGCTGTCGCAACGGCATACCTTCTAGTGTAATTATGTTTATAATGATTTCTTGATTTCTTTTAGCACTGTTTTGAGTTATATCCCAGTACAGTTAGACTTGGTGACACGGTCTTGGTCGCGGTCAGTTGCTAGGAGGTTGCAAACTTCATTTGTGAGATAAAAGGCTTGCGTCACCTGAGGCTAAGAACCCGCTGCGTTGAAGTTGTCATCGGTGTCCAAAACACAACAGGGATTCCCGGCCGGGGGAAGAAAACTCCGCAGGAACTGCACTTTTTGCAGGGGGACGGTCAAGGGACGGCAATGAACTTCATTCGTTCAAATTCAATGCTCGCATACAAGTCATCTGTGTTGCATCCCCCGCAAGGGAAATGTTCGGGAAGTTTATGATTCGATAAAGTATTGGAAATATTGAAAGTTGACTCATAATGGTTGAAAAAATAGGAAAATATAGAGGAGTCTCTTTGGAACTTAGTGGTTTTGATATTAGGTTGGAAAGTTATTACTTCTACTATCTATGCATTTTGGCCATACACCTGCCTACACCCATCGTCTAGCTGGTAATTCATTGCGATTACCGTATCGTGAAATCCACCATGATGCTGGTATTTGGTGGCTCTCAAGAATGTATGCCATTTCAATCAGATGCTGATTATGCTTCTCGCAAATGACGCAATGTATTCCATTGCCAGTATAATTGCCTGGCGCTCCAGCTGACAAATCCTCTCGGCTCTCGGTCATGTCGCTGTGAGCGGGACATGTGACGCCGACCGGAACGGACCTCACTGCCGTGGCGCAGGGCGTGATCTCGCGCGGGTGACCTTTTCCTACTCATGTCACCGCTCTCAGAGCCCGGCTCTATGACGGGTACTCGCGAGACTCGGCGACAGCTGCGGGTCGGCCGCGTCCCAGGGAGGCTGGTCGGACCAGGAAGCACCGCCTTCCCATGAAGGAGCGCCGGCGGCGGCGGCGCCTATCAGTTGGTTTCCAGTGGCTGAACGGCGATGGCGGCAGCGCGCTAATGCATACACGGCTCGCGGAGTCTGTCGCCGCGTATGTGACATCCATCAGCGCGCAGAGATGGACCGGAGCCCCCCTCCCCCAGTCGGTACAGCTCAATATGGATCTCACTGCGAGTCATGGAATAGTGGCTCAAAGTAGGTATACATAGGCGGAAGTCATCAACGCCACTGTCCGCCAGCTGCAGCCGATTACTGTGCTTGGTCGCCTCCTGTTCATTAGACGGTCTTCCTTCATTGCAGTAACTTGAATCAGTTTGTCGCTACATGGCCTGGCCTGTAAACATACAACAGCTCGACGCCTTGCATGCACCGATCTAAGGACGAATGAGTAAGAGTTTGCCGCGTAAAACCCAAAGCTGTGTCTAGCGATGCATAAGGCGTATATAACACATTTGCATTTCGGATGTAGGTCTGCCATTTTTTGTCAAACTTCGTCACTTCATTCTGCCAGCTATTGCACAATGCTGGCACCCCTAAAAATAGAACCATTGGAGCTAGTTCCGTTCTAAGCGCCTTGCCATTGCCCTTTCATGATACAATTTACATAGGTATTAGAACATTTTTTCCCTAAACACGCTCTGAATTTCCCACCGTAACGTAAAAAAATCGTCCCTTGTTTTCTCTTTGCCTTTCGGATATGTTTAACGTTTCTGTACTGATTACGGAGCGAGCGAAGCGAGCGGAGTCGCAATTTATACTGAGATTTCGAGCGAGCGGAGATTTCGCAACTTTACACTGCTTCCATAAAACAAGTTTTTGGGACAACACGGCCAATTAACTAATCTAGCTAACAGGATATTAACATTTTATACATCACACAAGGTACGTCTGTCATAAAAATGAAAAAGAGCTTACTATGCCGGGCTTCCCCCGGCTTCCTCTACCTGTAGTGAATTTATTGAAGTCTATTGAGACAAAGTTTCAAAAAAATCGGTCGAAATTTTTTTGAGATATCGAGGTTTTAGTGACGTCATGATTTCTTGAGTTTTCGACCAAAAACGGCATATGTTCAAAAAATCATATAAAATCACAGAATGAACATACAGACATGTCGTAAATTAGCCTGTTAATACCATGAACAATCAAATGGCTATCTTCGATTATTGATTATCGTTCCGCATTTTCCAAAATCTTGAACTGAATCTTGGCAATTTCTCGTGACTACTTCACGACCATGATACCTACATGCATTTCTTAAATTCAACTTTATGAACCAACCACGTACACATATGATAAAATGAATGTCACCATCGTGCTCTACGCCCAAAATTACCCATAAAACATGCGTCACAGGCTGCGAATATCAGTTTTGATTTTCGGAGATATGTGCCTACCCGGTTAACCTGACCTTGACCCTGAGTCCTGACCTATGCTTGACTGACCCCTACATGGAGCTGGCACTCTTGCAGGCCTTATATGAAGGATTTTGCACCGTTTTGACAGAGTTTATGACGAGAGGCGCCCATTGCGAAGTCCTGAAGTCCATGCTACTGAAAGCCCGATTTCAGGTGTTGGGCCTGACCTTGACCCGATCTGTGACCTCAAAATTTAACTTTAAAGTACTTATCTGAAGCGTCTCGTCGCGTTCTTTCGTTTGTCGCCTCGTGCGTTTCGCTGTGCCTATTGGTTCTCGAGTTATCGGCTGGGGGCGTTTAACGCCCCCCCCCCCTGCAGCAAACGGCGGGTGGCGAAATACCCCAGCAACTGCCGGGTTAATGTTGTTCTATGAAGAACAATTGCATATTAGCATATTTTAACTAAAAAGCAGTGTATCTATTCCTAGTGTATAATACTAACTGTAACATTACTGACTCCTCTCACCTTTAAAAGCTCGACGCTCATGTGACAAAAAGCTACACTGCCATTTATGGCCGATAGAGTGAATGTCTTTCAAAGTCCACGAGCCAATCCGGCCACGCAAGTCCTCGACGACCTATATCTTCATGACCATGTGCGATAGATGGTGCGGCTCGCCGCCAATCAGACCAATCCGCCGCTCCTGTTGAGCCGCTGAGCCCCAACTAATGATCGTATGACCAAGCGGTATGGTGGCATCTTCTGCCTCCACGTGCGTGCTGTAATCCTGTCTGGGCCGGCGCGGGATCTGGGGGGGGGGGTCGGGGGGGGGGGGGGCTGATGTCAGCGGCTGACGGTAGGTAATGATGCTGACGCGCCGCCGTCTCGGGCCGCCGCCAATAACGAGCGCTGGCGATGAGCGATGAGCCCGCGGCGCTGCCCGGTGGCCATCCGCAGTCCGCAGCTACCGCCGCCGGCGCGGGCCGAACACCAACGAGCACCTCCTCGGCTGTGCACGAGACCAGGGGCGATGATAACCTGCGGAACGAGCGGCCGCCGGCTGGCTCCGCCCGAACGGCGGCGCCGTGCGCTGAGCGGCGTAGTGGTTTATATCAGCGAGTCGTGCGCGCTGGCTCTGAGCGGCGTGGAAGCTTGTCCCAGTGAGTCGCGTACTCCAGCGCAGACTCATGGTGGCATGCAGGCGATTCTCAAGTCCGCCCACACTTTCTCAGAATTTTCGCGGACAGCTGTCGGAAAACGAATCACGACCGGAAGGTGCCGGCGCCGAGTAGACGGCTGTGATTCAGGGACTGGTCATCTAACCTCGTGGCAGGAGGTGGCCACGTGTGGCGCGGCTGCCAGCGTCGTCTCCGCCGCCGGCCCGCCAGCCGCCGCCCGCGCCGTCATCTCCGTTGGTGAACCCCCGCTGCCCACAATCGACGGCCCCCGCCCAGGCTAGGTCAACACTGGAGACAGTGGTGAAACAGGGTCATCTCCTGCTGATTGGAAATAACTGCAGCAATGCAACGGATAGAAATGAAGCTGCATGAAGTTGCTTTGTAAATGAAGTGAAATGCGTTGCTGTTTCTGCACGGGGACTGGGGAGTACCCGTAGTAGTTAGCTAGCAAAACGGTCACAGATCCAAACAAGTTTGCATCGCTTTTGTATTGTGAGCTGAGCGTAATTGTTTAAGTAATCAAATCCACCTTTATTGAGTATTTACGAGCAAAAGGAACTGGGTCCGTAAATTGGTTGAGCATTTACATGCGAGCAAAAGCAACTGGGTTGAGCATTTACATGCAGGCAAAAGCAACTGGTCTGTATATCCGTAAATGTAGCATTGTACTGGTCGGGAGTGGTCATTCATAATGAATTGGCAAGACCGTGGAAATGTGTCGGCCATCGTTCTTTCTTCTAGGTATGTGAGATTGACACCCTACACCTGAAACCACCGGAACTCCAGTAGGGCGTCCGTGACAGGTCATAACACGGTCTATATAGCGCCCGAGTCGTGTTTCGTCGGCCCCGGTAGATGTGGGCCGCGGAAGTTGGCACGTGGCCGGAGACCGGAGCGGGTCTCGGCCCGGTACCCCCTCTCTGCCCCCCCCCCCGCTTCTTCCCCCGTCAGACAGAGGGCCTGGGGCTGAACGGAAAGACGGGAGACGCGCAGCCGACAGAAGGTCGTATGTCCATTTCATTGGCGCTCCACGTGCCGCGAAGGAACTTTAGGGCTCCGGTGTCACCCTCGCTGCATTTCTGACGCGCGGAGCGTTTTTCGGCGAACCGATACTGGGAAGCTGGGGGGGGGGGGGGGGGGGCAGCTGTCATTCAGTTCGGCGGACCCAAACGTCAGTTCGGGAGGCATCGAAATCCCGTCAGCGTCACTAGCAAGTGCGCCTGGTGCCCAACGTGTCAGTTCTGGTGAAAGAGACGGGGTAGATTCATGAAGTTGTATTCATGTTACACTTCACTTCGGTAATAATACCGAATACATGACAAATATAGTGCATAGGTCAACTCCAACAGTACTACATTGATGGTCTCGTTGGCAATTGAACTGATCAGGTAAATAAATAACACGATGATTCGCAAAGCTGTGCGTATATGACAAACGGGTGAACGATATGCAAACTGCGAACAACAGACATGCAATAAATATCTCACTATGTCAACAGGGGAACAGCCACACGTTGTACTGCTCCGTCCAGCCGCCGGCCGGGGTGCGGGTCTCACAGGGACACCAGGTGACGGTCACCAGGGCTCAGCATGTCCCCTCTGCGCAGCTCGGCCTGTGAGGTGACCACGGGTGTGGCCAGCGCTCCGCCACCGCTCACGGGGAGCAGCGGAGGCAGGCCGGTACATGTGACCGGGGTCAGTCCCGTGCCGCCCTCCATCAGCGAGTCAAAGTTGAGTCCCAGGCCGTGCGAGGGCGTGTTGATGGCCACGCCAGGGCCGCTGCTCGGCACCAGTGCCAGCGAGGTGGGCCGCGCCTGTCGGGCCGGGCCCGCCTGAGGCACCGTCTGCTCGAGCCCGGCGGAGACAGCCGGCTGACCCAGGTAGGGCGCCGCCTGCGGCACGGTGGCCTCCTCCGCCGGCTCCTGTTTGACGACGAACGAGCGGCGAGTGGGCGCCGGCGCCGGCTCGTTCTCCTTGCCGATGCGGCAGCAGGGCCGGTGCGACTCTATCAGGAAGTGGAGCTCCTCCTTCTGCGCCTGCAGGTGGCGGATCTCGCGCTCCAGCGCCGAGCGCTCCATCTCCAACTCGTCCGTCTCGGCCTGCAGCGTGTTGGTCAGCGTGACGCGTCGCTGCCGACACCGCGCCGCCGCCTGCTTGTTCCGCTCGCGTCGCAGACGACGTCGGTGCTCCTCCTCGGGCGAGACGGCGTCGTCTCTGGGCCGGCGGCCGCCGCGCCGGTGGCCCTGCGGCGCCGGCCGGGCGGCCGCGTCGATCAGGGAAGGTCCGCCGGCGGAACGGCCGGCGGTGACGGTGGTCACGCCGCCCTGCCACCGGTGCTGGTCCAGCTGAGAGAACGTCACCGGAGGCACCACGAAGCCGGCCTGGTACTGGTGAGCGGCCGGCCGAGAGGCACCACCTTCTCCGGTATCCATCAGCGAGTCTTCAATGGAGCGCAAAGTGGTCGGAGTCAGCGACAGAGTCGGAGTCGTGAAGGTCGGGGCCGGCCGCAGTCCCTCGCTCGTGTTGGTCAGTGGCGAGAGCACTCCCGAAGCACCTCCACACTCGGCGCTGGCTGCACGAGCACTGAACAGCCGCATCGCACCCTCGCTCGTCCAATCAGCCAGCTTACGCAATCTGGTGCGAATTCCTCGTGTCGGGTGCGACTCAGCGCAGGCGTAGCGCACTGTGCACGTCCGCTCACCACCACGGGTAGAGAATGATTCACCTCTGTGGGGCCGGCGCAGGCATATAAACAGGCCCGGCCTCCCGAGTGAAACGTCACAATGTGACGCAAGCGACCTTCGCGAATCGACCAGTGAGAGCCGCGCTCGGCCGGCCGCCGTGCCGACGTCACCGGCGGCGGCCGCGCTGATTGGCTGACGTTGTTTGTGACGTCACCGATGAGTCACGGCCGTACCCGCTCGACAGTGAAGTGGGCCAGCGGCGGCTCGAGGAACGAAATATTTCGGAGAACCGCGTTTCGTGGACCGGAGCGGAGCACCGGATGTGCGGCCGCCGGAACCGCTGGCTTCTGGTGAGGAAGGCTGGAAATAGACGGTTCGGGGATGTGCGACACATCGGAATGGCCGGTCACGTCAATACTCAATGCCTATAGTGCCGTTCGGCCGTTTTACTGAATGGGTAAAACGTAAGAGTGGGATTTGCTAATGCATTGGTTATATTGCTTATGGCATCTCTCATCTCATCTGTGCATTTGATTATCAGATAAACAATTGTATGTTACGGCATCAAGCTACAATATGCAACGTATACATGAAACCATCGCATCACGCGACAAATAACGTTTCGAGCTGTGCCGATACAATCGATCCATCAGTTCCAACATGGATTGGTCTGCGGGCAGTGGCAATAGCGCAGCTATGGCTATGAATTGACACCCAAAATAAAGTTTGGTTTGGTAATTCCAGGGTACATCTGCTTGCATGGGTGGAGCACCTGCCCCGGCCACCCCGGCCGTGGCCGGGGTAACTTTCAGCCTACCCCGGCGCGGCCGGGGTAACTTTTCTACTCTTGTAAATCCTAAAAGCTGTCTCCATACGAGAAAAGAAAACTCACGCTCTTCGAATGTTGACTTCCATGGGCGTAATATTGCAAATCAGGTAGGTATTTACCATTTACTTAACTTGCCATAATCTCCAACCCTAAGACCCGCGTGTGGTCGCCAATGCCAAGATTGCTCTCACATCCTGTTCAGTTTCGAAATTTTGGCGCGCCTTCGGCGCACTTTTTCAAAACTACTGTTTGACCTCATTGCCTTCAACTGACCTGCCACCAACCGCAACCACACCCGTTTATGAGCGTACCCGTCAGGGTGCTCATAAACACCGAGCGGCCATCATGCTTCGAACTCGGACTGTTGTAACCGGGCCGCGTGCTCTCGCCACGCGGAATCCAACGCTCTAGCAACTGAGCTACGAGACCGGGACCGGTCGATATTCCTGGATCGACTCCCTGTTTGTATTATAAGAGCCGTCCAACATTGAAAAAGGCTACGCCCGTGGATGTCAGTGACCTATTTTAGTGCTTTGCTTGGTTCGATCTGTCAATTTCTCTGTAAAGCTTCTACTATGGTGAGTTGTCTTTTTGTAGCTATTTTGAGACACAATAAAAAGCTGAAAACGCAACATTTAGGTACTCAAAATGGCATATGGTTTGGTTTGGGTTCGGTGTGAAATTGGAAGTTTAAGTAAAAAGAAATAATAATTTAAAAGGAAATTGCATTTTCGATCATTCCAAAAATATTATGAATAATACGGTGTCGGATACAACGCTCATCCTTGAGCAAACACAGCATCCTATTCCATGCGTCAGAATAGGGGTTTGATGATGACCGTTGAGAACAACGTGAGTATATCGTCTTCCCGCGACTAGGTATCGGTCGCCGGCCGGGGTAACTTTTTCAAACATTCTCCACCCATGTCTGCTTGCTGAGTGCTATAAGTGGCTTCAACAACCATTTCAGAAAGTTTGGAAGAAAAATGAGATACTATGGCCGTTTGACTTTTCGTTCCACTTTCCATTCCACTAGGCCTAGGGTCATTTTATGCTGCATTTTATTTCCATATCTATGCCACACTTGCGTACAATATAAGAAACATGACCGAAGGTTTGTTGTCAATAGTTAAAACGCTATTCGTTAGAATTGTGCTTTTCTATTGAAAAACAAATCTGAGTTCCCTGACAATTTGGCGAAAGTATTCGTTGTAGCACGGCGAACGCTGACATGTATCCTTCCATAGCAATGTCACTGTCACTGAGGAGCGTTTAAGTCCACGGCAGATGAGCTTCGTCTCATTGTCTTCATCTGCATACAAATGAAGCTCTCTCCCTATGATTTCGGTATGGATAACTACTTGAGACGGGTTACACAACACATTTGTCTCACATTTGTCTATTGCTACTCAACATGGATAACTACTCCTCGCTCTGGCCCGTGTGAGAAGTTACACGGCTGAACCGCGCTCGGTCGCTCGCCGGGGCCGCGCCGGCCGCGGCGGCTGTGACCTTTGTGTCAGTCAGGCGCCATGCCGCGGGCCGCGGCCGCTCCGAGTGCGGGCCATATCCTGTCATACATAATGGAATGTCGAGAGGAGGCACCGGTGGCCGGGGCGCCCCACTGACGGAACTGCTCTGCAGCTCGGCTCGGCGCTACCGCCGCTCCCCAAATGGATGCGCCGTCGTTCCCGCCGCTCCATCGTGAGCAATTGAACGTTAAAGTGACAGGTAAAGTGGCAGAGAGCGAGCAGTTGTGGTGAACTGTCGGCTTTCCAGAGTCGGATGCTTCTATTCCCGTGGCAGTTGGCAGGAGTGATAGCATTCTCAGTTTCCAGTCATGTCTGGTATGTTGCTCATCATGGGACGTCCTTCTGGTTACAAAAGAAAATCTAAAACAGTGATATGAAATAACCAGAATCTCATACAAGCTTTAGTATTTTTAGTTTTATGAAATTAGATTTCTATGTTAACTTTCACTCGCTCTTGAGGTTCATCCGGTCTTTGTTTTTATGATTTCAGGAGAACGTATCCCATACGAGTGCCGTTGCATGTGGTTTTAGCACTTGCAAGTTCAGCTGCTTGAACGGCTAATTGCCGCTTAAAACATGCTTGTTCAGCACAACAGTGAATTGATTCGTTCCAGTGATCCAGGGTTCGTATAGGTTCTATGTACACTCGACATTATGTCATATTGATCAATTAACTATATGTGTGACATTATATACATTTCACAGCAGCCCATCTCCATCCCCTTTGCTGTAAATACGACCGTTGTTGCGGCCTTTGTTTTGATGCTTAGATCAACGAATTTTCCTAGATTTTCACACAGGAAAACTATTTTCCTGAAATAAAGCATCATGCCTTAGGTATTTGGTAACTACATGTTTTATAAGCACGCATGCAGCAGATGTGTTAGATGAAGTTATCATATCTTGCAAAGCTCAATAACGGTCTTCATTGGCAGCGCAACTAAATTAGGGATCTCTTTGTGTGTCGAGACTTACGAAGGACTTGGAGGATGAGAGGAAACGACACTGTGAAGGGTTCTTTGGACAATGAAAATAAATAGGCCGAGGTGGATAAGTAAAAGAATAGGGGAATCAACGGGATTCTGGATATTTTGTAGGCCGATTGTGGACATTTTTTGTTGCCAAAGCTTGAATGAGAGTGATTACTTATCCGAGTAATTAAACTTTTTCCGGAATCCGGATCGTGATGGGCGGGAGATATTCTTTCCCCGCGGGTGTTGTGGTTGGACTGTCATGAGAGCCGATCCGCCCCTCCCTCGCCCCGACTCAGCAGTGCCATTTGTTTGTAATTGCACTCCGTTCGCCGGCGATGACACGGCCGTTATTTCCACTCGGACGGCAACAGCGGGTTCAACAGTGTGACGTCACAACTTTCACAAGGTCACCGGACGCCCAGACACGCGGCACGCCCCCGTCGCGTGGCGGTCGCGGCGGCTGTTGTGGTGTGACGTCACACGGTGGCCCGGGGCGGAGCCGTGACGTCATGACCGGCCGAGCGGCCAGCGACAGGCTCTCGTGGAACTGGTATGACGACATAGGGCGGGCTGTGGCGTACTACGACGTAACAGAGCCGTACTCCAAATACCTGGCGCGTAGTAGTGAGAGTCGCTGCTCTGCTGTGATGGGTTTCGGTATACAGGAGTTTTTAATTACTTTAATACGCAGCTGTGTGAGTAATGGCCTTACTCAGATATTTTAATATAACTTTATACCAGTCAAAAAAAGCCAAAGAATTGACACTCTAATCCAATAGAAGACTCAGCTCCTTCAGAACCTTTCTACGTCAGGTGAAATTGCGCGATAGGCCATCAGGCGGACGGTCAAGGTGAGCCGCGTTTAACTTGATTAAGCAATACGGATCCTTCAATGCTCGATTTTTTAACACTCTTTCTTCTCTATATACAATGACAATCGCTCGGTAGACAATCAATCGGTATAGATCCCAACCGTGGCGAGTCTAAAACACAATTAGTATGTCGTAGGATCGGACCACATCGGCTCGACTGCTGTTAGACGGCCGCGGGGCCAAGAGTTCCCTTGTTCTCTTGCTTTTGAAGTTATTTTAGACGTATCGAGACGAACGAGTAAAATTTTAGAAGACAGTTCACGTTTATGATGTACAAAGTCAAAGAGCCACTAGCTGAGCATCCGAGAACGTCAGTTGCAACTTGCAATTCCTCTCATCATAGACCTGTGTAAGCCGAGATGAGCAAAGGTCTATGATTTCATTCATTATCAAATAGCATTGCCCTCACCGCACTGCCCAAACAACCCACTATTATATAATTGGCTGGTTACACAGTACACACAAAGCTGGAGGTAAGTACATGAACCGGTTCCAAGTTTGTGACGCACCGAATTCCGTGTGACGTCAGACTAACCAGTTTCGCCCAGCGATAGGATAACGGCTGGCGGAACCGGTTCGGTCTATCGCCTCGGTAAATCTGGATGACGTCAGCCGTCGCCGCCTTGGAAACGCGTCGCGCCACTTCACCGTGGTGGCTGGGTGTAGTTCGGACTAGCGGAGCGCGATGTGACGTAGCGGGCGGAGGAAACATGTGACGTCATTCAGTGGTTCTCAAACCTCAGAACATGCCAGTCATGTAGGTAGTGCAGCCGACGCAATGGTCCGTGGCTAATCTGTCTACCAACATTGATTGCAACATCGTGTTGAAACA